AGAAGCACTCATAGCATACCATTGCCTCCCGGATGGGAAGTGGCCAACGATTGCGAGACCGGAAAGACCTATTATGTGGACCACAACACCAAAAGGACTCAATGGTTTGATCCCAGGGACAGGTGAGGCACTGGACCAGTTGACACGAGTGTTGTCATAGCTAATGATGATGTGTTGCATGTGTTACAGACTCACAAAACCCTCCACTTTCGCCGACTGTGTGGCCGATGAGTTGCCCTTTGGCTGGGAGTATGTCTTTCATCCACAGATCGGTCAGCATTTGATCCATTGATTCATAGACTTAAGACAAACGTGTATTTAGTTTTGGGCCCTAAATGAGTGGTTAATTGCATTATGAGTTGCGAGATGACCACAAACAGTGGTTTCACTCATTTGTTTGACTATTCATTGCATTTATGTCTAACTTTGAAAAGTTTTTATTTCATTTATAGTTAAATGATTTGAAAGTTAATTAATTTACAAAAATGTCGAATTGAGTGATGAGTTTAATTTATGTTGTAAACTTATTTTTGATTTATATATCTAGTTATAAATAGTTTACAAACTTCTACAGCATTTATATTTAGTATAACATCATTAACTCAAATAATGACGTGATTTGAGGCATCAGTTTGTTATTGAATGGCTTTTATGTGAAACTAATTGAATATAAGTGTAAATATATGCGGAAAACACATTAAATTTAGTTTATATATAAAATATTAACATTTTATTTTCACAGTTTAATGTTTTGCAAATTCTGTAGAAATTTATTTATGCAAAAATTGAATTTTAAAATAAGTTTTTTGTTTATCTCTTAACTGGAATTTCAATTAATTTTGTTTTTTTATTTAACGATAAAACTTATTTCTTTGAAAACTTAAAATTTATTCTTTAAATTAAATATTTACAATACACCCTGCTTATATTATAGGCATTTATTATACGGATCACTTGCGGCGAGCGAATCAGTTGGAAGATCCACGACTGGAGTGGCGATCAGTGCAGATGAATATGGTTAACAATTATCTACAACAGGCCAATGGTATGTCACTAATTGCCATTTGCTCCATAATCCCATGTTTAACATATTTATCGTTATGTTAATGATTAAAAAATCTAACATTTGTTGCAATTATAGGTGATATCGGATCGCAAACAGAAGTGAGGGATCGCCGCAGCAAAGGCTCGTCCATAACCATCAATAGAGCACTTTTGGAGCAATCGTTAGCTGACGCCAAGCAAAGAGTGGCTCAACTGAAGCGCGAATTAGACGCCAATTATAATTTGCTCACAATTATTGATAAGTATTATAAAAAGGGAGAGAATAGCGAAGCGAGCGCTGTTGAAGTCTAATGATACCTATTTTCTAAACTTTGTGGTCATGTACTTACACTTATTGTACGGTAAAACCTGTCAATACAATGATAGACTCCAGGGTCACATTTAGGATACTGTTACTTTCCAATTTATTATATTTTTAACTTAATATTTATTGATTTTTAAGTATCAATTTCAATCAAAGTTCTATATTTTAATCGTTTCAATCAGTTAATGCAAATCCAGTCGTCGTATAATGAAATCAATCAAAAATTATTTGTTTTTACGGTAATGAGACCTGATTTGCGTCATAATTATTATTTTTAAATCAGTTTTTAATTTGTTTGATATTTTTGAATATTGATTTATAAGTGTAAATAAAGTATGATTTGTACTTAAGATATAATACAATAAAAAGTGAGAAATGAATTTATAAAAATAAAATATATTTATATTATCAATTAAATCAAACATTTCCAAAAAAGTGTGAATAAATATCTTAAAAACAAACTTTAATATTACGAGAAGTTTTTAAAATATTAAAAACTTAAACAATTCGGCCTTCAATTGAATGAAAAACCACTCAAACAAAATATTTTATACATTTAATCATAAGTTATTATAACTCACTCTTTATGTCATAATAAATATGCCTAAAAATCTCATCATTATATGAGTTAATGGTTTGTTACGCGAAAGGATGCAAAAACCCCTCCGATATTCAGTTATATTTCAAGTTTTTATAAATATATTTTATTTTACATTTTCCTCGTCTCTTGACTAATGTATTGAATATTAAACTCTTATTGAAATTTAAAAACTGAGTCTTTTTTAGGAAAACATTTTCAATATTTAAAAAAATATTAGGAAAATATTAGCATTATTAATAGATATCAATTATCTGCTAAAATATTCAATGAGTGCGTTATACAGATTGCATGTCTCTTCGTGATACCGGTGCCCGATATATGCATTCTTCGTGTTTAAATCCATATAGGGTTTAGAGAAGTCATAGGGAGGCCAGTCGTTATGGTAATCAATCGGCGATACAGACCTGAAAAGTGGTATTTTGTGGGGAAAAGATTAGTAATAATTAAGAGATTTTTACAGTTATTCTGCACATAAACCAAAAGATGACAATCAGTATTGTTTTGCACAACAGTTGTGTAAAGTTTTGCATTCATTAATGGGTTGATTTGTATGAATTAATTACTCAACAAATGAATGGAAAAATTAAAATAAAAACAGAGAAGTTTGAGGTTTGAAATATAGTCGCCTCGAAAGCAAGAAAAAAACAATTATAAGGAAAATAATGTGTAAAATAGTTTCGAAAAGCATGTGAAACATTGATTGATACCCAGTTCTGGCGAAATGAGTCCACGTCTTCATTAGCCGTTTACTGAAGTTGATGTCTTCGCCATCAAACATATTGGGATATCTGAGCGGAACGCCAAACACGAAGTTGAGTTCGTCGTGATGGGTCACTCCCATCCATTTGCCCCAAACAGAGCTCTGGGGCCTATGATTAAACAAATACATATATACCGTTGAGTTGAGCGCCGAGAACTTGTCGGCGAACCGGGCGGTCGGGCAGATGAACATAATGTCTCCGAAAACAGCCCCTATTTTTCGGGCCCAGTTCTCGGGTGTGTCCGTCTCATTGCCGTTCAGGAGGACAGACGCCATACTCTTGGCCTGTGTCTCGGGAAAGCCGCCGTCCACTGCCATCCGGATGATAGTATCCCTGGCCTCTTCTAATGTGTTGATCGTTGGGACAGTAGTTCGCGTGTAGTTCTTAGGGTACGACAGATGAAGAATAAGCGATCCCTCGTCTCGATTAAAACCAATCAAAAACTCTTTTTGATTGAAAGTTATGTTTTCGTTGTCTTCTGTGGGAAAACTTTCGATATATTCGGAGGGAATGGTGGGCAGGAAAGGGACCGGATTATTGGTGACCATTGCCTGTTGAGCGTCGTTTATCTTCTTGAGTTTCGTGTTGTCGATGCATCGGACGACCATCTCAAGCGAGTCGTAAATGTCTGTCCCTTCAGGGAAACAATCGATTTTTCGCACAAAAGCTTCGGCCGTTTTCTGGCCGCGAGTGAACACCTGATTCAATAGCATCGGACTTCCACTCTGAAGGATCACCCGTTTGAACAGATCCTTGGTTTGCGGTGCCATCATATGCATGCCTATCGATATACCTCCGGCTGACTGACCAAAAAGTGTTACCAAATTAGGATCGCCGCCGAAGTTAGCGATATTCTCATTGATCCACTTGAGAGCCATCGCCTGATCGTAAAGACCCATATTTCCAGGGATTTCATCGTTTTCTAAGTCTAAAAATCCAAACAATCCTAATCTGTATTGAATGGACACAACGACCACATTTCCAAACGATGCCAAAACACTGCCGTCATATTCATCGACACCAACGGATCCAATGGTGAACATTCCTCCGTGAATCCACACCATCACTGGTAATGATGTCTCGTTGGTCACTGGACTCCAGATATTCATATAAAGACAGTCTTCGCTGATTTGCCAGTTGAGTATTTTGACCGGGAACAGTCTTTGTGTGTATTCCGATTGAATGCACGCTGGAGGCAGTCGTGTGGCGTCAAACGTGTTGGTCCAGGGCCTCACCGGGTGTGTCCTCCGGAACCGCAGCCTTCCCGTCGGCTCTTTGCCATAAGGAATGCCTAAAAATGTATTCACTTTAACGCCCAACACATCGTTTATTTTGCCCCTAATTTTGCCAGACTTTGTCGAAACAATAGTTGAATGCTCTTCAGATGGGACCAGCTTTTCGTGCAATGAATTTGTATTAATAGGCGATATGTCTGAAGTGATTAATTTTTGTTGATTTGGCTTCAGTTCAGTCCGTACAACAGTTTTCTCATTAATTGCTGTTAAACTAAATTTGTCAAAATATGAAGGATTGGTGATAAGCAAAAGTCCGATGATTAACGCGATTACTACTAATCCGCCGATTATGTAACGAAAGAATAAAGATTTTCGGTTTTGATTCTTGAGATTAAAAGTAGTCATTTTGTCACCAATTTGTTGATCTGAGCAAACAATTATTAAATAATATGTGATATATTTATAAGAATATTCTACAGTTTATATAGTTTTGAAGCTTTCTGTACTTAATTAACAGAAAATTGACTGAATTTACACATTTTATAATAACAATCACGATGAAATTTTTTAGCAAAAAAGTTTTTAAATACACTTCACTTGAAGATTACTTTCAAATGAGTATTAAATTTCAAGAATCTGTTTGCTATTTGTTGTGTTGTTATCTCCAAGGCTGACAACTTTCAGTGTCTGAGCACCAGATCTATTCCTTAAGACAAAAAACTATTGGGAAAATTGCCACAAAACCCAACACTTGTAGAAATCAATACACACTACAGTTAATAAATAAGACATCAATTCTCGCACAGAATCCAATAAAACAACTTTTGATCAGAAATTTTAATTAGGTTTTTGTCATTAATTTATAAGTACTCAATGTTCTGGAAATATTTAAATATTTGAAAAAGTTTAACAAACTTTCAGTACATTTCAATTGAAACAGAGATGATACTCAATGAGAAATATCTTTACAATTAAAAATCTTTGCCTAAGACTTTTCGTATGACTTCATATTCACCTTAAACTTGTCTGACATGCGAGAGAAAGTGAGAGCAACTGATGAATAGTTATCCACTTTTCAAACCATCGGAAAGTGTGTCATAAAAATGAAGGAAAACTTTCACTTATGCTAAACGGGTTTACATTTGCTTTTTTGAATGCATTTATCACTAAAACCAACATTTATTATATTTGCAAAATTGTTGCCCATATTTTATACATTTTAGTATTTTTACTATCGCTACAGATATACGAAATTCTAGTTCATTTGTATAATGTGTGTCTAATATATTGTTATGTTTTCAATAATAAATAACACTTACTGTGCGTTCACGTCAATCAAACAAATAATGAAAAAAGTTTTTTTATTCACAAAAGATTAACTGAAAGAAGTTAAACCTTTTCTAATATTAATTTCCTGATATTATATTAATAGTTTTTGCAATACAAAGTATAAAATATATTTGAAATAAATATTAATATAATTTAATTCCAATATGTTTTTTACTAAGCTATTGATGTCATACACAATTTTTTAAAAATTATTATATATCCTATTGTTATCAATGATTTATTGTAATATTTGGGAAAATATTATTTTTGTCAAAAGTATCGATACAATAGATAATTACGGTTTCTATCATTTAAATGATAAAAACTTTGAAAAATAAATACAATTTTTTCGTCCAATCAAATTAACCTAAAATTTAATTATAAATGAATAAACAAAAATTTATGCAATTATATAGAAATTATTTTTATTGAAAAAATGTATTTTAATTTAAAGCAACATTTGTATCACAAATGGATTTCAACAGTTTGTTCGCTCTTTTCCTTCAGAAGATCCCTATTCTTCAGTTCGACATATATTTCCTCCAATTTATGCCTAATTTCTGTAAAATGAGGCCTATTTTCAGGCTCATAGTCCCAGCACCTGGACATCAATTTATAAATATCTTGCGACGCTTTGGGAGGACAGGGAAGTCGGTAGCCGTTATCAATCAATTCACGCGCCTTGGCGTTGGACATACCGCTATAGGGGGTACTACCCAGGCTAAATATTTCCCACATTAATATTGCATAACTCCATACATCGCACAGTGATGTATAGCGACCTAAAAACACATATAATAATTCATACAAACTCTAAACACAAAGCAAATGATTTTTATTGCTGACCATAATTGAGGGCTTCGGGAGCCGTCCATTTAATAGGTATCTGTTTCATGCCGTTGGATACGGTGTACTCCAGTTCCATATTGGCCTCCCTTGACATCCCAAAGTCAGATATCTTGACCCCATTGTCCGCACCGATCAGACAATTACGAGCCGCGAGATCTCTGATACAACAAAAACTTTTATTAATATCTTTCTAATGATTTTTACCGTATTTTTAGATTTATTATACTGTTTATAAATTCAATTTCAATGTTATTTTCATTGAAATGTTTGCTCAATGGTTCATTGAATTAACTTTAGGCTATTATAAAGCGATAGTGAAATATTTTAAATAGTTTCTAAATATTTAATTCATTAAATATTTTCACAAAGTACTGCCTAAGGGCTGCCACTGTAGTAATCATTCATTTAGTTTGTATGCAATTAATGGTATAATAGAATTGATATTTAATTGAACATTCATTTGAAGTTCAGGTCAACAAATGTTTTATACTGTATTAGAAAATTACATTCACTTTCAGTCTAATTTAATAAATCAAATATTAGTTAATGTAAACATTGATTTAGCAAACAATTTTCACTAATTAAGGAATAATTATGTCAAAAACTAGAAATTATGCTAATAATATAATGTATAGTTTAATGTAAGAATTAACACATTATTAAATTTAATGTAATGAGAAATATAACGAGAAAAATGATAAGATATTAATAAATACGAGACTTTCGTGTCGTAAAACTACCTGTGAATACAATTTTTGCTTTCCAAGTACTCCATACCGGAAGCCGTATCTATATTCATCCGCATTAGTATCAATTGGTTTAACTTAATTCGGTTGCCATTAGATCTGAGGTAATTGAGTAGAGACCCGCCCTCCACCAGCTCCATCACTATCATAACCGGCTGTTTGTGGACACAGATCCCAATCAATTGGACAATATTCGGGTGATTGTATTGCTTGAGAATCCTTCCCTCCGACAGGAATTTGCGTTTCTGTTCGTCCGGTAAATTTATTTTACACGTCTTCACCGCAACCGACATCTCTTTTAGGGTACCCGTCCCTGTCTTCGCGAGTATGGCTTTATAGACGTCACCGAAGTTTCCTCTTCCGATCTTCTCCTTCAGCTCAATGTCTTCGTGATTCAGTTCCCATCGCTCTCTGGGGATGGGATGCAGCAAAAGTGCGCCACTTTTCTCGGTTACCACACATTTGTTGCACTGATAGTAGTCTACCAGATATGAGATTGTGGTAAAGGAGGGTCCCTCCATCTTATAGTAACCCTAAATATGTGATAATTAATTGTTTTGAATTCAAGTGATTAATAGAGACTTCCGTTTTCAGGCAAAAAAGATGTGTTAATATTTGTTTTTCAAATGTCATAAAATGCGGAATAATTTCGTTCCGGTCTTATACTAGTATTAATAATCTGAATATTTTTTTAAAAATTCATTTATTCATTAATATTAAGTGAAAGGGTAATAAATCTCCAAAAAACAAAACTCAAAACAAATGGAAGTGAAAGTGAGGGACAAACAAAAATTCATTAATATTTATAGTTATTTAGTGTAAAAACTTGTTTGCGATTTGTTTAGCATTTGCAGTACTTTTTCCCTCTGATATTACTTTCAGATTAACTCAACCGTTATGTAGAATCAGTTTAGAGATATCGATAAACATCTAAAAAATTATTGTATTTGTTTAACACACATAGCATTTGGACTCATAAATAATAACTCACCTGAGAATCAGTGCTGATAATGAAATGCCGGAATCCATTCCATAGGACAGACACCACATAACAGGGTTGTCCACTCTTTTGCGTTTGTCTCACCAAAAAGTCTCCTTTTCTTGACAATAGTTTATTGCATTCACTTCTGGGAAGACTTCCGTGAAACCAGTCCTCATCACTCAATTCAAGGCTGTCATCCCTTTCCGGTATTGTACCTAAATTGCTGTGACTTGCAGTCGATGGTAGGCTCGCGAGCGTCGACATCGAGGTCGACATCTTTTGTCGTTTGAATTTTGTTAACAAAGTTCTGCCCCAAGACATGGTGGACAGGGATGAGTAGGATTTGGACGTCTCGTGAGTATTGAATGTGCTGTTCATTGATTTACTGTGCGATGCATTTGCGACCACTTCTTGGCGTGGGTTTAGGTTCAGTTCGAGGCCATTGGGCACCTGAAGGCCGGCCATCTTAAGGAGGCACATGTCCACCCGTTCCCATATATGGTGTGTCCTCTCGTGTTCGCTCTCAATGTAAACCAAATCCTTTTTGATGATATCTATGGCTCTCTTTCTGGTTCTGATTCCCATCTTTGCGTTCGCGTTGTCTTCACTTAAAGGCAAAAGAGCTCTCATTTCGAGATCGTATTGCTTCTGGAGTTGATGTTTGTCTCGGATCTCAATCTGAGATTTACTCAACATTTGCTGTAATTCTAATTCTCTGTTCAGAAAAGTTTTTGTTAATTTACTTTTGTATACTTTGCAAAACATTTGTAAGTTATAAAAAGTATTATAAAAATAATGAAACCTTTGTTTTAAAGAATTAATAGTAAACGTATCGATAATTAATTGGTTGGGTTTGAGAGCGCCTACGAAATCGTCGAGTAGTTTATCGTTGAACGAGATGTTTATTTTTTGAACCACAGGTTTAGCTAACTTTCCCTTCAGATTCCCGTAGATATTAGATCTGATAATGTTTTCGACACTGACTTTAAGCTTATTTTGGAGTCGTCTATACCTTTCTTGTGTTATATCTGTTTTGTCCACAAATTTCATTAAAACATTATTCCACTTATCGCCTAATAATTGGAAACACAAATTAATAACAGAAACTAAATTATTTGCCAATTATCTAGCTCAATCTGAATGAATGCATACCTGAGTCCATAAGAATGGATTCGTGGTATGAGATAAGAGTCGGTATTAACAACACTCTGAAGTCGTTTTCGTATTGTTTGGCTTCGGTTGTGACCAAACAGTAATCGTTGTGCAAAACATGCAGTTTTTGACACAATTTCTCGTATTTTCTCTTGATTTCGATAAATTGTTTCTCTATTTTCGAGTTAATGTTTGCATTGTTTTCAGTCTTTTTAGGCAAATGAAGCCAAATGTCTTCGTATTTAGTTTTGGTGCTCTTGTAATTAATTAGACATTTCTCGTAATCCGATTGAATCTTATGACATAACTTTAATAACTGTTTGAAACAAATGATTAAAATAAATATAAATAATGTATTTAATTACTGTGTGAGAAATAAAGTCATTTTCAATAAGTACTCGAAAATGGGATTAAATAAATATACGCAAAGAGGGAACGGGAGGCCTGTATGACCGCTAAACTTCCTGAATATTATTTGTGATTTCATTTATTTCATATCACTTGTGAGATAACTCACATCGTATTCAATCCATTGCACTCTAATTGTCTATCTTTTAGGCAAATAATTAACACTTAATTTTTTAATCCGGGTTATAAAAGTTTGTAACTCTAACTGCGTGTGTGAGTGAGTGTGCGTGAGTTAGTGTGCGAGAGATTTGTTTTTTAGTTAACATTTGAGCCAAAATATTGTGTTTTTAGGCAAAAATCCAGGAAATGTTTTTAAAGTGTAAAACAAATCTAAATATTGTTTAATTGAATACATCTGTAAGTGAAGCGCACATAAAAATCTTATCATAAATCCATAAAAAATTGAATTAAAATATGCATAAAAAAGTTGTGTTAATAATACAGAATTTCTATCAATTTTTAAGATATTTTTTTGTTCGGGAAAAAAGTTTTGAGAAACTGAATGAACACAAGACTCACGTTATCTAATTGACCGCAATATCTATTGAATTCCTCAACCAATGACTTTCTCAATGCTTTCTTCTCAGAGACCAATTCATCCATTAGTTCCAGCACTTCGTGTGTCAACTCATCAGCACTGGTAGCCATCAGTTTGCTCAGGGCTTCCGTTTCATTAGCGATAGTCATCCAAACGCTTCCGATATTAGTATTTCCGATGTTGTCATTGAAGTGACACTTTTGACCACAAATACTGACCATCAGGAGTGAGTTAGCGTATTCACGATCGCATTTGATCCGCATATTAATACAATTGCGAACACTTTCCAAGAATTTTAACTCTTCCTCTTGAAGTAACAGTACTTTCTCTATACCCGAGTATCCCATCGTTTAGTTGAATACAAATTATTTATTAAAACATTATAATACGGTATTAAAGTATTTTATTTTTCAAATGAATTTATTTATAATATTGTTTTTTAGACAAACATGTAATTAAAATAAGTTCACATAATATAGTCGAGAGACTGGGAGTCAGTATCACCTTTGCATTGAGCAAACATTATATCACAAGTATTGCAAAATAGATTATATTTGCATTTTGGTGGAGACTATGCTGTTATGCAAATCTATATTTAGATTATATAACTAAATGGCATCACTTGTGCCCTATCTTTAGGATCACTATTCAGTAGACAATTGTTGTGACATATATTCTCAATATATTTGTTTCATTCCAACACTTTTACTCTTTATTCATCTTTTTTTATCAAACTATAGATTAATTATTTATATCTTATCGTGTCATAATGTTTGGCTTATTTGTTAACTTAAATTATTATTAATATTATATAATATATATATTTCCTTCTCTTTACTTCCATTTGAATAATTATTTATGTTTTAATTTATGTATAAAATTGTTATAATTTCTAACTTATAAAACAACAAAAACATAGATAATAATTAATATTTTAGTAATTATTTTCCAAATAAATTTAATAAAATAAATTATTTTAATTTTCGATAACTTTTTCTAAAAAATGAAATACATGTCAGTAAAATTCTGTAGTTTATTTGTTATAAATAAGTTTGTTTGTAATAGAGTTGTATTGAAATAAATATAATAAATCAAAATGAATTCAGAGACACAATCTAATCGACATTAAAGACTAATTATTGAGTAGTCCTTGAATTGTTTAAACCGATGTATGGCTTGATTTAGGGGCGAGTTTGCACTTTTTGGTGCACTTAAAGTGCATTTTAACACTTGGACTTTATATTTAATAAAAACTACTCAAGTCACTTTTTAAATAAAGAAAAATTATCATTTTATCTAATTTTGCACTCGAAGTCAATCTTTTGATACAGTATGTAATCAAATCTATTGAAAAAAGTTGAAAATCTTTTTTATTGGTATGAAAACAGAAACAACTCTAAAGTTTACAAACATATGAAACTGGCGTCAAATAGTTATAATTTTATTTGTCATTGGTTTATAAATAAAATTAATTTTGACGATCATTATATGAAACACATATTTGAAATGAAATTTAATTAAATATTTGCTAAATTTATTGCCAAAATGCCGCGGCTTTCAAATGATGTGGATGAAAGTGATCGGAACAATGTTATTGAGAAATGTGAACAATATTTGGCAGGAGTTTGGACCACAAATCAGTTCACTGTTCGTCGATTCGCGTATGTATTTGTAAATGACATTTGTTATATAAGTTTATATCATTTCAATTATTGTTGTATTTGTATAATAGGGAAGGATATTTTAATAAAATTTTTTATTGCAAACAAAATGACAGCAATAATTTAAACCCTAATGATCACAAAGCAGTTGTGGTTAAGTTAGCACTCGAGGAAGACATGTTTCTGTATAATCCTTTGATATCAACTATTAATACTCTAATTATATCGGAGTCCGGTTTGGCTCCAAAGGTTTTGGGAGTATTTCCTAATGGCATGATCTGTGAATACATTGAGGTATGAATTAGAAGTCGTGTTAAATATTTTAGATATTGTTTAAACAATTTATACTATAATTGATTATCAAAAGAGTCGCTCATATAATCATTTGGATGACGACAACCCGATGATTGTCTCACTTTTAGCCCAAAAATTAGCCAAATTTCATACATTAGACTCTCCGATACCCAGAGACGGGACCCACAAATGGATGGATGCGGTATTTGATGAGTACTTCAGGGAAGGGATGTTTGACACCATAAAAGACAATCAACTCGTAGACACAATAAATATGAGTTCACACGAGTCTTTAAAAAGCATGGATTTGGGGAATGAGTTAATTTGGGTGAAAAGGGCCGTTCAAAGTGCCCCCAAAATTCTGGTCCTCTCTCACTGTGACTTCAATCGGGGAAATATTCTGATCCAAGAAAACGGTGACAAATTGGACCTGTTTTTCATTGACTTTGACTTCACGAGCCATAACTTTCGAGGCATGGATTTTGGCCGATATTTCTCGAGTTGGAGACATAAAGACTCGCACTTCGGGTGCGAACCCTTCCCTACCGATCAACAGATGATACCATTCATCGACGCCTACATCAAAGAGTCAAATCGTTTGACAGGAAATGCATTTTCAAAGAGTGAATTCAATACAAGAGAGCATTTGATAAAAGAGGCAAAACTGTTCACATTAGTTGGACTTATAATTGATGTCACCTTTTGCTTATGGAAATTATCAATGGATAATACAATCGTTGATGAGTTTTTGGTAATGAAATGAATTTTAAAATTCTTTTAAATAATATTATTTATTCTTGTATTAAATTACAGGAAAAAGCTGAGAGAAGATTCACTTTTTATTTGTCTCTTAAGGAAAGGTTTCTAAAAGAAAATTCTTTGCCATAAGATGTTATCAATTAAAAAATGAACATTTGTTTCGAGTAATGTAAATTTATATGTGTTTTATATGCATTTGATCTAAATAAATCTTAAATTGAATCAATTTTGTATAAGTTTTATATTTTATTTACAAAATATTTTATTATATGTTTTATTATAATAGCCAATAATGTTCATAAGTTCCATTAATACAGTACTAATAAATCTGTATTTAATTAAATGTCCATTTTATCTGTAACAAACAAGCACAATTGATAAAAGTGTTGTCAATGTCTTATCAAAATGTCATTCTGTTTAATGTACAGTCAATATATCGGTTTAAATCAATATTCATTATCACAATATAATAAAACAGACAAAACTACCCAAAGCTGGTTAGCATTGAATATTTCTCACAATTACCTCTTAAGAGCCAAATGTTTGCCAATAAAACCAAAATCGCTGTAATCGGTGCGGGAATAATAGGGACGACATCGGCGGTCGCTCTCATTGAATCGGTTCCTAATATAGACATCACATTAATTTCACACGAATTCACGCCAAACACTACAGGCGATGGAAACCCTGTTATGTGGTGTCTGTCCTATGGAATGGATTCCGGCATTTCATTATCAGCACTGATTCTCAGGTGAGTTATTATTTATGAGTCCAAATGCTATGTGTGTTAAACAAATACAATAATTTTTTTGATGTTTATCGATATCTCTAAACTGATTCTACATAACGGTTGAGTTAATCTGAAAGTACTATCAGAGGGAAAAAGTACTGTAAATGTTAAACAAATCGCAAACAAGTTTTTACACTAAATAACTATAAATATTAATGAATTTTTGTTTGTCCCTCACTTTCACTTCCATTTGTTTTGAGTTTTGTTTTTTAAAGATTTATTACCCTTTCACTTAATTTTAATGAATAAATGATTTTTAAAAAAATATTCAGATTATTAATACTAGTATAAGACCGGAACGAAATTATTCCGCATTATATGACATTTGAAAAACAAATATTAACACATCTTTTTGCCTGAAAACGGAAGTCTCTATTAATCACTTGAATTCAAAACAATTAATTATCACATATTTAGGGTTACTATAAGATGGAGGGCCCCTCCTTTACCACAATCTCATATCTGGTAGACTACTATCAGTGCAACAAATGTGTGGTAACCGAGAAAAGTGGAGCACTTTTGCTGCATCCCATCCCCAGAGAGCGATGGGAACTGAATCACGAAGACATTGAGCTGAAGGAGAAGATCGGAAGAGGAAACTTCGGTGACGTCTATAAAGCCATACTCGCGAAGACAGGGACGGGTACCCTAAAAGAGATGTCGGTTGCGGTGAAGACGTGTAAAATTAATTTACCGGACGAACAGAAACGCAAATTCCTGTCGGAGGGAAGGATTCTCAAGCAANATTTACCGGACGAACAGAAACGCAAATTCCTGTCGGAGGGAAGGATTCTCAAGCAATACAATCACCCGAATATTGTCCAATTGATTGGGATCTGTGTCCACAAACAGCCGGTTATGATAGTGATGGAACTGGTGGAGGGCGGGTCTCTACTCAATTATCTCAGATCTAATGGCAACCGAATTAAGTTAAATCAGTTGATACTAATGCGGATGAATATAGACACGGCTTCCGGTATGGAGTACTTGGAAAGCAAAAATTGTATTCACAGGTAGTTTCACGACACGAAAGTCTCATATTTATTAATATCTTATCATTTTTCTCGTTATATTTCTCATTGCATTAAATTTAATAATGTGTTAATTCTTACATTAAACTATATATTATTAGCATAATTTCTAGTTTTTGACATAATTATTCCTTAATTAGTGAAAATTGTTTGCTAAATATTTACACAATGTTTACATTAACTAATAATTGATTTATTAAATTAGACTGAAAGTGAATGTAATTTTCTAATACAGTATAAAACATTTGTTGACCTGAACTTCAAATGAATGTTCAATTAAATATCAATTCTATTATACCATTAATTGCATACAAA